CGATACAAATTAAGTGACGCAATGTACAGAAATATATCTGAATCCCCCATTAAATTACCTTTTCAATGATGGTTCATTACCTTTTTAAAATTAGGGTGTTAAAGAAGTGAAAGGGAGGGGGTTGACACATGACAGATGTCTGTATTGTGAAAATGTTTTTAATTTGGAATAAAAATCAACCTGTTTCAGCAATTTCTTAAAATCCAATAATTTATGCTGAAAAACAGGATGAAACTGTTTTGAGTGACCCACTCTGTATATCAAAAATGGCTAGATTTATCGAATTAGTTTATGGAATAAATTCTGCTTAAAAATGCATTTTTTACAAGATGCGCCACACAAGAAAAATCCTCCCATAGAAAAAAAAATATTGAGCGCAGCGCCATCTACATATTGACCTATTTAAAATCAATTTATATCTAAAACTGAAGCTCTCTTGGAGCTCTGTGAACTGGCTTTTACAGAATAAAAATATCTCTATTACTTACCAAAATATCCGACCTGGGAGTTTTTAAACTTAAGGTTTATTTCGGCCTGACGTGAAATGATTAGATTTTGGACATAGTCGGAACATCTGGGGGGGTACTTTATGGGAGGCCACTTTTATATTTTATGGAATATATCTGTTATTAATGTTTGGGGAAAAAATTGTTCAAATAAAAGTTACTTCTAATATTATTATCTATAATTTTTGTTTTATGTAAAAATTTCCTGAAATGATCCGTATTCGAGAAATTTGACAAAATGTGCAAAATTCTGATTTTTATGAAAGTTTTTGAAATAAAAGTTGTTTGCGATATCGATCTCTATAATTTTTGTTTATACATGATTTTTATAAAATGGACCGTAATGAAAAAATTGTAGGAAATTTAAATTTTTCAGTATTTTCGTTTTCCATGAATATCTATAGAAAAATGTTTCGAGGTAGATGTATGTGGACAATGTATATATTTAGTTTATCCTCTAAACATTTATAGAGATGCTGCAATAGGTTGTACAAAATAACCGGAAAAAGCCTATAATAACTAGATAGCAAAGTCATGTGTTGGACACATCAGATTTTTTTTCTTAGTTTTACACCCTTCAGACCTCCCGTGCTACACCCTAATCCGTCTGTAATCTGGCAACACTGCACCCTGCTGCTTATTGTACCACCATTTGAAGGTCCTACTACTTTCCCATTCACACCCTCATTCATTCCACCTCGTCGATGGTTAAACGCAGTTGAATGAATCCCATGGTCACACGGCCCATGGTGGAACCACCCAGCGGTCACCCATCCACGACGAGAAATCACTGATTAACTGTTGCGAGTAAGTAGATGCACACTAAGCTCGCGGCTTCGGCTTTATTTATGTTATTGACCGTCTGATTTTATAAGGTACATTCTGTTAATAATATGTTATTAAATATATTTTGTTCAATGATTTCTCGAGTAAATTGTCAAATTTTATACATCTGCAATGAATGACGCATGTTAGCTTCTATATAAAATTAAATATTATTTTTTTTAAATTAGATATTATGCTTTACTATTCTTAAATATATTAAATAAGATTTTTCCTTTTCATATTAATTTTAGTCTGTGAAATTATTCATTTTATAGTTAAAGCATTTTATCTAAATTATTTAAATTTCCCTTCATCTATCATAACATTTTAAGCCTTTTTAGCCCATGGCGGTTCAGGTTCGAATACAAATAAAAATCATTTATTAAAAAACAATGAAACAATTGCTTTAATTTTCATGAACTTTTTGTGTGGTATTTCTTAAAATAAAGAACCTTTTCGTAAAAAATTGTTTAATTTTGCACCTCATACTTTATAGAGTAATTTTACGTAACTACATTTTCATATAATTCATAAAACGTGACAACACGTGTGTGCATTTAAAAAAATGTAAATCATGCCATTGCTTAATTGTCAGTTTAGAATAATATAATTTGTTATATTAAAGAAATATTCCAGTTGTAGATCATCAAGTGTAAAAAAGACGTTTTTATACAGTTTTGCTCCTCTTCTGTAAAGGTGCGTTTTAACATTTACGAGGGGTTACCTCTTAAGCATCCGTCGTATTTTCCGGATTTAGTACTATCGTATTTTTATTTACAAAATTTAAGAAATATTTGAAAGATTAAATATTTTCGACAAATGATGAAGTTTTATTACGTGTCTTTTGCAGCCCAAAGCAAAAATAACAATTATTACTTTGAGAATGTTATACGAAAGATGTAAATCTTTATAAATACCACCTCGTATATTTTTTTAAATGGTAATTTCCATTCTTAGTCCCTAACTAACGTGTTTGGAATTATTTGTGAAATCAAACAGAAGGAAAAGGAAACAATTTAAATCATAGTGTTTGGGTAACTCGTTATGCGAAATTATCGAAAGAAATGAAAAGAGAAAATTGCTTAAAATTGCTTAGGCGGAAGATATCAAATTAACTTCGACAAAGTAACTAAATAGGAGTTGATAAAGTTAAACGAATCGTACAAGCTGATCTTTTTGTAATTCTTAATGGATAGTAATAACGGTGCTTTTAAATAATAATTTAGAAAAGGACCAAAACGATTAGTACTAATTATAGTTAGGAAAAACTGATGTGCGTGGTTAAATAAATGGTAATGGCAGTAAAATAAATAACGAAGATGTTTAGCCGTAGGCGAAGTGTTTAACCAGCTAAGCATGATACAAATAATGCATTTGAGTTGTACAGTATATTTTTTCTACGACCCTACAAATTTAAAAAAGTAAAAATCTGATGTGTCCAACACATGAAGAATGACTCTAGATCCAAACAAAAGTACATTTGATTTACTGGGATTTATAACTAAGTAGTGATCTCTGGTCGAGTCGATAAATGTGCAGATATCTTCATTAATGGCCATTACAAGCACTTTCTATCATTTGGGGTGGAAAACTGTAGTACAGTTGGGTGTCATTCGCGTAAAAGTGAATGTTGCAGTTAGATAAATAATGTTTTATGAGTTGTGAAGAGTAAATAGAAAAGAACAATGGTCCCAGTATTGAACCCTGCGGCACTCCCTGATATTAATGATTTAAATGTGAAGAGAACTTTTTGTTGTCTATTTTTTAAGTAATTATTTATTAGCATGATGGCATTATTAGAAAATCCTATATACCCCAATATAGCAGTAAGCAAATCATAGTTCATAGTGTCAAATCCCCTGCTGAAGTCAAGTAAAACAAGCAACGTGCATTTACCATTATCTGTTTCTCTAATTATGTCATCTACAATGTGAAGAAGTGCAGTGGTGCAGCTATATCCTTTCTGGAAAAACCGAATTGAATAGGAGGAATTAGGGAAACAATTTGGAGATGTTCTTTTATTTGTAATTACTTTGCCCGTTCAATAATTTTTGATAATGTGGGTAGTATACTGATAATTGGCCAAAGATCTTTTAAATCTACTGGATTTGAGTTTTTTGGCAGAACACGTAGAACTGCACTCCTCCACATTGCAGAGTAAACATTTTCAGTTGAACAAAAATTAATTATATGAGTTATATATAATAATAATAATATATTAATAATTTATTCACAAAAAATACAATAATAGTTACAATTACAAAGTATACAAAAACAAAAGATATATATTTAAAATCTAAAATAATATTTAAAAGTAACATAAATTACTAAAATCGATTTAAACATAAATAAATTAAAAATATAACATAATGTAGGTGCTATAAATATATATATTAGCATTTTTAATTTTAATATTTTAATATAAAAAACTCAAAAATTTAAAATCTAAAATCTTAAAAACTTAAAAACCTGCACAATCATTTTTTTTTTGGGATAATGTTTAATTTTCAAAATAATCATGGATCATACTGCGAGAGTTAGCTAAAATAAATTGTTTTAGTCTTTTTTTAAAAGTGTACAAGTTTGATTCAGTTTGAATGCTCTCAGGAATTATATTGTACAGTTTGGATGCGAAATAGGAAAATGATCTCTGTGAAACCACTTTGAACATTAATGGAGCTAAATAACGACATTTTTGTCTAGTATTATATTCATGATATACTAGACCTTGATGTTTACGAACATGGTATTTGTTGCTACAGCAAAAGAAATACAATTGTCTTATATCCATTATTTTTGTTTCGGTATACAAGGTTTCTGTAGGATATCTAGATTTTTTTGAATAAATTAACTTTAGAAATCGCCTCTGTGTGACTTCTAAAGAGTGAAGGTGTGTTTTCAAAGCTGCACCCCACACAGTGATTGCATACCGAAGATGGCTTTCAACTAGAGCACAATAAAGGGTTTTAAGATGGTGTAATGGTAAAATATCTTTTAAAAATTTGAATTTGTACAAAATACTGCATAGTTTATTTACCGTGTAGGATATGTGAAGGTTCCATTTTAAATAATGGTCTATTATTACTCCAAGGTATTTAATTTGATTTTTATTTGAAATGAAAAAAGAGTCTCCGCTATCAGTAATTTTTAGGTGATCAAACGGTGGTGCACCATATGAATTGCAGCTAAATGGTAAACAATGTGTTTTTTTCTATATTTATAGTCAATAATTTTTTATCCAAAAATTTTTTAATAATTAGAAAGTCTTGTTCCGCTTTAGTTTTTAAGTTAATCCAGCTATCGTCAGAATAGAAAATAGCTGTGTCATCTGCGAACCCAGTTATGTTTCCTATATTTCCCTGTGAAAACAAATCATTTATATATATGTTATAAAGAATAGGACACAGTATAGATCCCTGTGGTACCCCATATTCGATAGCTTGCCATCTACTGAAAACTCCATCCACTTTTACTGCCTGAAATCTCTCACTTAAATAGTTTTTAAACAATTTTAACGAATTACCTCGTATGCCAATGCTATCTAAGGCTTGTAGGAGTAGATTGTGACATACAGTGTCGAAAGCTTTCGACAGATCAATAAAAATGCACAAACATGGTTTGCTTTCATTTAGGGAAGTTGTTATTTTTGAAGTTAGGTTTAGAATAGCATCTTCCGTTGATTTTTTTTCTCTAAATCCGTACTGCTGTTCAGATATATTAAATTTGTTCAAGTATGATTGAAGCCGATTTTTTATTAGTTTTTCGAAAATTTTAGATAAGTGCGTAACTAGTGAAATAGGTCGATAATTAGTAGGATCCGTTATGTCCCCTTTTTTAAATATAGGTGTAATAATGGTTATTTTTAAATGCCGAAGGATAAAAAGCTTTTACTATACATTGATTTAAAAGATATGTTAAAGGTTGACAGATATATTGTGAAATTGTTTAAAGAGTTTCAGCTTTGATATTATCATTGCCAGTAGCCTTATGATTTTTGAGTTCGTTAATTATCACTATAATCTCATTGATTTTGACTGGCGCAAAGAAAAAAGAATTTGAAGAGGAAGTTTTCCTTAATGTAAAATTTTTATCAAGTTTTTTACCCATATTGGCATAAGTGTTATTGAATTCATTAGCTATGTCATATTTGTCTGTCAATGGATTACCTAAACTATTTTTAATTTTATCAATTTCTTTTTTCTTAACCTTCGATTTACTAATGTCCTGTATTACACTCCATAGGCCTTTAGAGCTATTTTTATTTGTATCAATTTGCTGGTTATAATAATTATACTTAGCCTTATTTATATGATACTATATAAGGACAACAAAGCCTAATCGTATAAATATTTAATCCATCACAAGCAACAATACCTGTTTTTATACTACAGATAGTTCTGTACACAAATAAAACATTAACTTTTTTAAAAACAAAATTTATCGATATTTTTGTGATAAAACTGGTATAGTACGATAATTGTACGTGAACATAGATGTAGAATTTGTCACATATTAGAGGTTTTATAAAAATGTTTCATAATCTTTAATATACTTTAAATACTTTTTACTTAAGTTTTCACTATATGTATTTATACAAATAATGTCCGATACATTTCTATTAATGCAAATGGGAAGTCTCGAGCGGCGCGTAAGTATTATTTTTTCAGTATCTCCATCAAGAATATCATGAAAATAATTGATCATCTCCCTTATTGAGGATTCCTTTATGTTATATTGGTATAAAATCCCATATATTTCTTTCAGGCAAGGGCAAAACCATGGATTGAGACTCAGGCCAATTTCTTCTAAAGCGGGTGTCCTATTAAAAAATGCGGATGGCAGGAACATCAATCGATTTCCATTTAAATTAATGAATTGCAAATATTTCATTCCGGTTGTAGGAAACATATCCAAATCAAGTGCTTTCAGTTGATTACCCTCTAAAATCAGATACGATAAATGCGGAGTTTCGTCAAAACTATTATTTTCTATTATTGATATACTATTGTTAGCCAAATTAAGATATTGCAAATTAGTCAATGTATTTAGCATTCCTTTTGTCACAACAGTTAACAAGTTGCTATAAAGCCTAAGACTATTTAACTTTGGCACGTCGTAAAAGGCATCATCTTGTATATAACGTAAGTTAGCACTTTCAATAGTAATAATGGAAAGTTGTGGGACATTTCGGAAAATGCCTTTTCTTAAAAATGGAATATCCGTGTTCGATATTGATACTTCTACCAGTTTGGGTAAATTAGAAAACGCTGATTCTTGAATATCTCCAATAATAACAAAATCTATAAATACATTTTTTAAAGGTGGCATATCTTTAAAAGTGTCAGAATATATTGTTCCCATTCGGCTCCGTGATATGCTAATAGATGTTAATTTTTTCATGTTTTTAAATGCAGACTTTCCAAAAGGTTCGGTGGTGTTTAATATATTTAACTTTAAATAGTATTGATAACTTTCGTTCAAAACATCTGAAGAAATTTTTATTATGTTCTCACAATATATTGCTTTTAAATCACGTGTACATTCAGCCTCTACACTTTCGAAAATCACTAAACTGAAACAAGACACTAAAACAATTCGAATCACAAACATTTTGTTGAACATTTATTATTTTTGAAATATTTTTTATTCGACCGGGATAACAGGTTAATCACGACTAGCGAAACTGATGCTTAAAAGTATTTTATAATGATAAATTGCAAAAATTATTGATAAAATTTGTTTCGGAAATTCCCAACAGTTATCAAATTTTTATGAAACGAAATGACGTTTTTTTTTGGAAAGGTCAGAAAATTATCAGTAGAAATCCATTTTAAATGTTTAATAGCAAATATAAATTTTGTAATTTTGACATGTCGCAAGAAGGGTCATTTTCAATATCACATTTATTGGATTTATTAAGAATTATTGCTCCGCTAACAATAACAAGAAATTTGTATTAATATTAGGTATTCTGTTTTAATCCTATAAAATACAGTTTTAAAGATATTACCGTAATGTTTTCATAGGAAAACTGAAAAAGTGACACTAGCTGTGGGTTAGCATACTTTTTTGAAAAAAATGGCCCGTTTCGTCAAAAAAAAAAATATATAAAGTTTATTAAATTTTCTAAAAAAAATTTTAATACAGAATTAACATTTTCTAACTTGTATTATTCTTTAAACGATTACTATGAAGTTTCGGAAAAAAAATGAACAATATAAATAAAACAAATAAAACAATAATAATTAGAGTACCAGAATTTGAACAATGTAAATAAAAACAATAATTATTGGGTACTTATCAAGGTTAAAATTGTGTTGAGGTAGAGTGACAGTGAGATATCTCATACAGATCGAAAATGAGCAACATAATCATTGACAGAGTAAGAACCATGTCTCAATAGATATTTTTTTATGTTTTTTTAAAAGCATTATTACTCAAATTTTTAAAGTTCTGCGGTAATATGTTAAATAAGTAATAATTTAGGGAATTTATTTCAGGTATACATAACCTAAAACGAGTATTTCTAATACAATGTGAATTACGTGTCTTGTAATTATGAATATCGGACTGTTTCAGCAAAACAGACTGTTTCCTATGAATTTCAACAAGTGTATGATGTAAATATAAAGTAGGTAGTGGCATAATAAAATGTTGTTGACAATTTTCTCTGAATCCAATGTTACCCATAATTCTGATAGCTTTTTTTTGCATCCGGAAGATTTGAATAGATTGAGAAGAGTTTCCCCAAAATGGTACACCATAGCTGATATGCGAGTGAAAGAGAGAGAGTTTTGAGGGTTTTTAAGTTGGTAAGTTTTTTTAACTGCCGAAGAATAAACAAAGAACTAGAAAGTTTTTTCTTTAACTGATTGATGTGGGCCGACCAATTGAGTTTGTTATCCAATGTAATACTAAGTTATTTTACGTTTTTTGTTTCATATTTTGAGATAATTTGATTATTGGCAGATATCTGCATATTTTGAGTTTTTTCACTGTTAAGTTTTAATTTGTTGGTTAGGAACCATGTGTTTGCTTTATCCGCAATTTCATCAAACGAAGAAATTAAATTTTAAGTATTGACTATTTCCTTTATGAAAATAGTCAAGGTGTGCCTGATGATGAAGTAATAGCTTCGAAACCGGTCGCCAATTAAAATTGACTTTCGAAACCGGTCGCCAATTAAAATTGACTTGTGAGAAATAAAGGACCTTTTCTTTAACCCCTTATACTTAATCCCTACTACTCCAAATTAAATTTTTATTATTTTTGTCTGTTAAGATAAGTGTTGTGTTATCAGCAAATCTTCTGATTTATTAGGTAGCATAAAACAGCTTAGATCGTTAACATAAACAATGAATAAAAGGGGGCCCAGGACAGAACCTTGTGGAATCCCTTGCCTTACAGCCTGAAAGTCAGACAGAACATCATTACTCATCACAGCTTTTTGTCTGTTACTAATATATGAATTTGTTAGTGCAAGCGGAATTCCCCTAACTCCATAAAAGTTTAGCTTTTCCAGAAGAATATCATGAGAGTCGCAGTCGAAAGCTTTTGACAGATCGCACAACATTACTGCTGTGTGATTTCCCTGCTCAAGTTCCTCAACTACATCATTCACAACATTGAGAACAGCCTGTGTAGTAGAGCGAGAGCATCTAAAACCATATTGGGAGTTGCTGAAGAAGTTGTTTAATTCAAAATACTCACATAATTGTTTTTTAATAATTTTTTCAATAACTTTACCAAATATTGAAACAGTACTTATAAGACGATAGTTCAATTTTCGAGACATCACCTTTTTTGAAAATTAGTAATACTTTAGAGTATTTAAGTACTTCAGGAAATATATCAGTGGATAAAATTAAATTAATCAGTTCAGTAAACGGTTTTATTATAATATTGCAGATCTCTTTTAAAATTTTACTATTGAGTTCGTGAGTGTCAACACATTTAGAATTTTTTAGAGAAGTAATTGCGTCAAAAACTTCGGACTCAAGAACAGGGCGAAATAAAAATGAGCTACAGGGCATAGGAAAATGTTTAAAACTCAGAAGTTCGGCATTCGAAACATTAGGAAAAGATCTTATATTTGCAGCAGTTGTATTAAAAAATGTATTAATTTCATTTGGTGTTATATCAGGAGTTACTAGATTTCTTTTTAAATTGTTTCTTTCGAAATTGATTATTTGCCAAAATGCCTTGGCTTTATTGTCTGCTCGAGTAATATGTTCATCATAGGCCAGTTTTTTTGTTGATTTCAATTTTTCATTATACTCGCTTTTGAGTTTCTTGCATGTTTTTATATCATTTGGATCTTTTGTAACGTCTGTTATTAGTTTGATGGTGGAGAGATCGTTTTTTTAGAGATTTAAGACTGTTGTTAAACAATATCACTGGTGAATTTCTTAAATTATTCTTACATCGTCTCAAGGGAGTATTGATAAGAAAAGTTGACAAAAAATTACATCATTACCTGTATTACAAAAAATACTCCAATCTATACTACTTAGAGACTGTTTAAACATCTTTGTTCTATTATCTGTAATACACCTTTTAAAACCATAACTCAAAATTTATTGATTTTGAGATTTGTGCGGTATTATAGTGTTATAGATGCTAACTTTGATAATACAATACCATCATATGTAGTAAGAGCTAAGACCAGAATGAATCGAGATCTTTCCAACATAAATGAGTATTGCTTAAAACATAATCTTCGTATTAATCCATCTAAGTCTAAATTATTAATTTTTAGCCCACATAGTTACAGACAAAATATAAAAAACAACTTGAGTCTTACCATTAATAATGAACTCATACCCATTGTAAACTGTGGAAAAAATCTTGGATTGATTATGGACGAAAACTTAAAATTTGTAGAACATGTAAATGTTTTAATTAGCCAATGCTACCATCGTTTAAAACTTCTTTATGCGAATAAGTTTATACTTAACAGGAAAATGAAGAAATATCTATGTGAAACGTTTATTATAAGTAAACTTAGTTATTGTGCTATTGTCTATTACCCTTGTCTTGACGTTGTCACAGCAAATCGCATTCAAAAAGTTCAAAATACTTGCTGCAGGTTCATTTATGGTCTTCGTAAATATGATCATATTTCAGAGTCGTTCATGGAACTGGAATGGTTAAATATAAAAAATTTATATATCTATTATTTACTTGCTTTTGTCCATAATCTAATAAACTCATCTGGTCCTGAATACCTTAACAACAAGTTGATCTATCGAACACAGCTACACAATCTAAATATTAGAAGGCAAATGACATTATCTATGCCTAGACATACTACTTCCCTTTTTCAAAGAAGTTTCATATACAATGCCGTCAAACACTTTAATTCATTGAGCATTAATATAAAAAGTTTACAGTCTGGTACATTTAAGCGCAAGGTAAAGAATGACCTACTCCACCAACAAGGCCAGTAAAAGTTTTAAAATTGTAAAAATTTTCTTCTATAATAGTTTTGCTAATGTTTTCTTTTTATTTATTTTATTGTAGTTTATTGGTTTTATTGTTTTTATTGTATTTTATTGTATTTTATTATATTTTATTATATTTTATTGTATTTTATTGTATTTTATTGTATTTTATTGTATTTTATTGTATTTTATTGTATTTTATTGTATTTTATTGTATTTTATTGTATTTTATTGTATTTTATTGTATTTTATTGTATTTTATTGTATTTTATTGTATTTTATTGTATTTTATTGTATTTTATTGTATTTTATTGTATTTTATTGTATTTTATTGTATTTTATTGTATTTTATTGTATTTTATTGTATTTTATTGTATTTTATTGTATTTTATTGTATTTTATTGTATTTTATTGTATTTTATTGTATTTTATTGTATTTTATTGTATTTTATTGTATTTTATTGTATTTTATTGTATTTTATTGTATTTTATTGTATTTTATTGTATTTTATTGTATTTTATTGTATTTTATTGTATTTTATTGTATTTTATTGTATTTTATTGTATTTTATTGTATTTTATTGTATTTTATTGTATTTTATTGTATTTTATTGTATTTTATTGTATTTTATTGTATTTTATTGTATTTTATTGTATTTTATTGTATTTTATTGTATTTTATTGTATTTTATTGTATTTTATTGTATTTTATTGTATTTTATTGTATTTTATTGTATTTTATTGTATTTTATTGTATTTTATTGTATTTTATTGTATTTTATTGTATTTTATTGTATTTTATTGTATTTTATTGTATTTTATTGTATTTTATTGTATTTTATTGTATTTTATTGAATTTTATTGTATTTCATATATCTTTATGTGATTTAAGTATCTATTTTATCTCTTTAATGTATTTTATAAAAACTCTTTATCATATATTTAAAGAAGGGGTTAGGTGGAAGAATAGCCTCAGACTAAATCTCGCCCCGCAAATGTACTCATGTATTTATTTATTATAGTACAAATAAAGACGTTTTATTATTATTATTATTATTATTATATCTCTAAATCGAAAGAATGTCCCATAAACAACAGAAGTGTTACTATTGAATTTTGCCTGAAAATACTTTTCCTGATACAACATCAACATAACTAAAAATATTGTTGTTCCTTTTTGAACTTTTGAAATGCAGAAATACAATACCAACATATTTAGTTTTAAAGTATTCTAAGTAACTAAAC